CCCCAAAACCCCAAAACCCCAAAACCCCTCTTCTTGAAGAATAATTGAAATTAGTTTGAAAGCTAGAGAAACATCTTTGCATATGATAAAGTACCCATAGGGTTCTTGGGAGATGTGTTAATAGCCCTGCTGGTCATCGTTCTAGTGCTTGGGACAGATTGAAGAAGTTGTAAAGGAGTCAGATTTAAGTAGCTATCTTTTATAAGAAGTTTCTGTTTCAATCTTTTCTTGTAACCACTCCGAGAACACTTCTTCTCATTTAGGTCAGGAATCTTTGGTGTTTTGAGAGAATCCAGAGGCTTTTGGCTCATTTTTCGTCCTCCGATACCAATCTTCCCTCGAGTTTTCTCCGAACTCTTTGCTGTAATACGAGTTCGAAAAGTTTCAATTTCTTGTTGAGAAATCTTTAATTTCTTCCTCTGTTTGTTATCACTTTGAGTAACTTGAAAATTGCCATGAACTTTACACTCATCTTTAGGTGCTCTCGTCATATCCAGATTCTTCTTATCAGTATACCCACATTGTAATTTCTGGAGATCTCTAGCACTAAGGTTCGGCTTCAGTCTGAGAACTTTGAATAAATTTTGTCCGTTTTTCTAAAATTTTATTCATGATTTACTTTAGTTTTATCAAAATAATTCCTGATGTTGTTTTTCTGCTTGTTTACATAATATTCTAACTCTCTGCTAAATTTTGTATCTATGAAAAATTCTAAGAATATGCAGATTCCTTAATATCAATACTTTTTGGGACCTCAAATCCTTAAGGTGGGAGATTTTAGAAGGGATCATACCTTGTACTGGGGATTGCTTGTTCTTATTCTTTGTTAAATCTACTCTGTAAACTTCCAAAACTCACTTGGCTTATTCCTAGTCTGACCTATTTCATGGCTTTTAGCCTGTATGATACTTTTAAGAAGATATTCCTTCACATTAAGCACATTAACCTGTTTTGACTCTGCTGGCTCTTCAAACCTAGGTTTCGGAAAAAGCGAGTTTGAGCTCGCTTTTGAGAAAATGAGCTTTCGAGTAGCTGATAGGGTTTAACAAGGATTTACTTGATTTTGAGTGAGGAATCCGGAGGCCTTCGGGATTGATCATGCTAGAGAGATGTCTGATACGCTTGGTCGACTGATGAGCAGGCTTTTTAGGAGAGGGTTTGCGGTACTGTTTGGAAAGGGATTTTGAACTTAGGTTCTTAGAGAAAAGCACCTTCCGGAGATGACTCGTTTTGAGGAATTTAGAGGCTTTGGAGCAGGGTGATTTGACAGAGTTGAATTTCAGTGACTGGAAGTCTTTCAAAAACATTGATTTTCTATGAATTTGTTAGAAATTTATATATTTACCTATAATTTGGAAGATTAATTGACTCTTCCATCTTGGTTCTTACTGTCTTTAGCCGTGCAAACTGTCAAAAATCATCTACTTCATCATTTATTTCGCTACTAGTAGAGCTCATTATATGTTAATTATTTCTATAACTCTTTATTTTAAAGGGGTTTTGGGGTTTTGGGGTTTTGGGGTTTTGGGGTTTTGGGG